TGTATTTACGCTTGTTAATGAAATATTATTGATTAAAATTTTTATTGAAATTATTATTGGATTGATATGACTAACCAAAAAACTATGTAATTCACTTTTTAATACTATGAGATATGGACAGTTCGGTAAGCTAACTTAGAACCAAGCAACAGGATATATTAAGCTTAGAAAGATACATACATTTAAATAAAGATTAGTGTAGAAGTCACATGGGAGTTGCCCTGTCCATAGCAACCAATTTATACATAAAATAAAAAAGGTGGCATTCTCACCTCTATTCGCAGTGACAGTTAACTTCATGTGTTTACATAGTTTCAATTCCTTGATTATTCTGATTTTTATAAGTGACTCCGCAATGCATTACCACATAAAATAAACCAGTAGTGGTTACTAAAATCAGTACTTAGATTTTTCCCATTTTAAATTATTTTCTCTCTTTTTGGCTGTAATAATGTCTATTCAAAACCATTTACACTTTGCTAGAATTGCACTTAGCATCTTGAGAATTCAGTTTTCTCCTCTGAAAATTAGATAATTGGACTCAGCCATTTTTCATTTCTATTATTAAAAATTGAACTACAGCTTTTGTTAATTACTTAGGGAAACATCACTCCTTGGCAGGTTTTCTCTCTCCACCCAACATCCATCTGGCCTACTTCTTTCTATTATCAGTTGATATATGTTCAAATAGTGCACATCAGTGTTAACATTGGCTCAAGAAAAACAATTACAAAGTAAATCACATGGTTCAGTCTCTCCTGACAATGAATGATTTGCAATATTCCCATTGTTTGTATGATCTATGTTATCACTCTCTTGCATTCGTGTTGATAACAGAGTATTGCCTTTATCTTTTCTGAGGTTGCTACCTGATTAATTTTCCCCTTCTGAACTAGAAAATTAACTTTTTCCTCTTAAATTAGAAATCAAAAAACAGAACTATAAAACCTCGAGCAGATTGTTGGCATTTATTGTTTGATTGGAAAGCCGTGAACTTAGTATCATTATGTAGCTACCATGTTTTTATCTGTAATATTACTTTATAATGTTTGATTTTACGTTCCATAGTAACACATTAAGGTGACTTTAGCATATTTCAACTTTTGTTAATATTGAAAAAGTATATATAGGTTTGCAATATTGTGTAAAAAATAAAAATATTAAACAGTGTTAATTTGGGCTGATAATGTTAGTTATCAGGACAAGTCTTAGAAAAGCTAATTTAATCATATGATACCCACTGATTTTATAGACAGTTTCTTCATTCAAAATAAAAGTAATGTTAAATTGAATAAATAATTTGAATAATCAGAATTGCCAATCTCACGCTGAAAGAAAATCAACTTTGGGATTAGAAAAACCAAATTGCAAATTAGCTGAAATAGCACCCAAATATACCACATAAATGCTAAAAAAAAAAAAGTGTTATTTGATTACATGAACATAAAATAAAACTGTTTGCCGTCAATGAGTCTAACACATTTTCTTCAGAATACTGCAGAAATAAGAACCCACAGGATGGTTCTGAATCTTGAACAGCAGCTCAAGAATACTTACTCCAGGCCGGGCGCGGTGGCTCAAGCCTGTAATCCCAGCACTTTGGGAGGCCGAGGCGGGTGGATCACGAGGTCAAGAGATCAAGACCATCCTGGTCAACAAGATGAAACCCCGTCTCTACTAAAAATACAAAAAATTATCTGGGCATGGTGGCGCGTGCCTGTAATCCCAGCTACTCAGGAGGCTGACTGAGGCAGGAGAATTGCCTGAACCCAAGAGGTGGAGGTTGCGGTGAGTGGAGATCGCTCCATTGTACTCCAGCCTGGGTAACAAGAGCGAAACTCCGTCTCAAAAAAAAAAAAAAAAAAGAATACTTACTCCTCTAATATCTCAATTTGCTTGTATTTATTATTACTTACTGCATTATACCCTTTCATCTTCTAACAAGTGTAGGAAGACCAAATTCTTTCCGTGTTTTTGATAGAGATACGATGAAGAGATTATTTTACACTGTAGGTGGGTCGGTCAAGGAGTCACTTTGCAAGTTTGGAAAGTTGACATCAATGGAGGAGATATATTAAGTAGTTCCAGAAATGCGACCTTTTGGTCGCAAGACACTTTTTAATCGTATCAAACAGTCTCCAATGCTCACACCCTGAATGCCTTCTTTAAAATGTTCTAAACACTTCCAATTTGAAAAGGGGTTAAAATATAAATGTGGTAAACAAATCACACAAAAAATATACATTCTTAAGGAATTGTTTTTCTTATGTTATAGTCCTCCAAGTGTGCCAATGACATATCTGAAATATGTGTTGCTAAAGTGAGGCATTTTGTGTAATGGCTTAGTTGCCAGACTCAAGTACTGGGAATTCAGTCAATTCTGCTCTTGTAATACATTGTGTTGGCTTTCAGAACAATACTCCTGTGTTTCTCGGGAAAAGATATGAGTGTTTCCCTAATAGGAGAGCAAATGTTATAGCCAATAGTGAGACGTAGGAAAGATATATAATACTTACACAATCTAACGTATCACTTAAAGTACCGTTTGAATAAAGTTTGTCTAGAAATTGTGAGTGTTTTGTTGTATGTAATGACCAATTTCAACATAAAATCAGAGATGTGGCAATGTCAACATCACAAACAGTGGCAGCAAACATGGTGCTGTTATAAATACAGATTGTGTATCCCAAGCCCTTTGCTTTTCTCTACGCATATTCCTCTAACTACTCAGAGATCTGTGTTCTGGTAAAGCCTTCCATAGTGAGAGCTCCTGCTCTATTCTGTCCTATTCAAACATAACCAGCAGCAAATATACTTGCACTTTTTTGCCAGCCAATTCTTTCTTATTTCTGGTGACAGGAGTAAATCTACTTATGAGAAAATAAGAGAAATACTTATCTATAGTCCCAAATGTTTTAATCACTGCCTATGTCAGCCTAATTGTTTCCTAATCAAAAACTGTGAGTATCTAATTTTTGGTCAAAATTGTTTATTATGGAGATTTTACTCATATAGGAAAAAGTGACATAAATATTATTAATACTGAATGACACTAATATGTCATTGGGGAATAACCATATGGCTGTATGAACATGATATGCTTTCTAAATATTCATCCTACAAATATATTGTCATTTGGAGGTTACTGAAAATAAAATCCACCAATTTTTTTAATGTTGATCATATCTCTGACAGGAAATTGTAAGGAATATAAAAGTAATAGAAAACAAAAAAATTAGTTTGTGTCAAATGAACATGCAAGGATTTTGGCATAAGACACACTTTAGCTACTTGGGGTATTAATTAATTAATAAAATGTTAGCAGTAGCTGGCAAGGTGAGAAGATTGACAAAGAACATTCTTCAAATTCGCAGAGCATTGTCAGAGCAAGCATTCCCAGGACAATACAGTGAATCACAGCTATTTGATTAATCAAATCAGTTCTCTATTGTAAAACTACAAAGGTATGATGTCACTGGAATCTGATTTGGAATTGGATGTTTATAGATTAATAAAGTTGTATAGACTGTGCTTTCCAATATTTTGCCTCAAAAAAGAATAAATTCATTAGGAATTTGAACAAAAGTAACGTTACACAACCATTATAGTGTTAGAGTAGCCTGTATAGGGAAAAAGCTATTAATAAAAAGTAATCAATCCATTAATCTCAATGGTGAGCTCTTGGCATTGAAACCATTGATTGCATTGACATGATTAGTCATAGCTTTATTCCTAAAAATGTGAATATACTCTTAAACATACATAAAACTCACTGGCCAAAATAATCCACAGTTAAATTCAGTTAAATAACTAATAATTTCATAGGAAAGTGGAAGATATTTGAGGCTTTGTAAAGAGAGGATCACAGTGTTAACCTTGATACCATTATCTTTTGATTTCTTGAAACTCAGTTTGCAAGGCCTCGAAAGTAGATGTCAAACAGCAGATAATAATAGCTGATAACTACTAAATGTGCCATGTGCCTGGAGTTCTTCTCAGCACTTTACATGTATTAACTCAAATAGGACCAACTACTTTTTGAGGCAGATACTATTATTATTGTCCCTATTTTATAGCTGAAGAGAAGTTGAATGATTTGTTTCAGGTCACAGTTCTAGAAAGGGGAGAATAATTTACAGTTTCAACCCTAGCAGTCTTGTACCAGACACTGTGCTCTTAGCTGCTAATTAGTACTGCCTCTATCATGGAACTTCTATGTAAAACATAAAATTATAGTCAATCAGCAAAAGTAAATTGTGCCAAAAATAAAATGTTTGTGTAAAGGTAAAAAAAAAAAAAAAAAAAAAAAAGATCACTGAAGTCGAATTTAACCTTTATTTATTTATTTTCTTCATTATTATACAAATTTTGCTACCAAGCACAACACAAAGCATTATGACAGAACTATTCCCCGAGACATGGGGAGACACTTTACAATGAATATTCACAGACAGTGTATGGGAAAAGTAGAAATTAGCCTTTGTATCTTTTAGGTAGTTAGATTCTAGATATTTTTTACAGACAGTGAATTTTAGTCATTAATTTTAAAAATTTGCTGTTTTGTTTTTTTTTTTTTGAGATGAAATCTCACTCTGTCGCTCAGGAGGGAGGGCATTGACGAGATTTCAGCTCACTGCAACCTCCACCTCCCAGGTATGATTCTCCTGTCTCAGCGTCCCGAGTAGCTGGGATTATAGGCACGCGCCACTACAATCAGCTAATTTTTTGTATTTTTAGTAGAAACGGGGTTTCACCCTGTTAGCCAGGATTATCTCGATCTCCTGACCTCGTGATCCACTCACCTCAGCCTCGCAAATTGCTGGGATTACAGGCGTGAGCCGCCATGCCCGGCCAATTATTTTGTGCAATGACTCATATAAGGTAAGAAGAGAGCTAGAAGAGGGGAAAGTCAAAATCTAATGATAACAAGTATGTCTCAGTCCCAGACTGCTTGACTAGAATAATGTTTTCCTTCCTTTTTTTTTTTATCTTTATTCCAGCCCCTGTGCCTGAATGGTTCAGAAGCAACCACCATCATGCATCTCTGTGCAAACTTGCCAGCTAAGATCAGTATGGGCCTTCCTCCAGCCTATCTGTAATGCACTGGGAGAATATATCTTCATGTCTATTTAGAAACATGCATATAATAAGTTATTTTAATGCTATTTATAAAATTTTAGCCTTTTCCTAGAGTAGATTTTCCACTTTTATCACCCATAGCCACAAAATTATTCAATTATTTTCTACAGTTCTATAAATATATCATAATTATGAGCTACTTAATGTCTTTCTTAAAAACTTTAACAGTATCTGGTAAATGTCAGTGTGCTGGCTCACACCTTTAATCCTAGTGCTTGGGGAGGCCAAGGCAGGTGGGTCACTTGAGTTCATGAGTTTGAGAGCCATCTAGGCAACATAGCAAGACCTCATCTTTACAAAAAATACAAAAATTAGCCAGGCGTGTTGAGGCACACCTACAGTCCCAGCTATTTGGGAGGATGAGGCAGGAAGATAGCTTGAGCCCAAAAGGCCGAGGTTGTAATGAGCCAAGATTGCACCAATGCACTCCAGCCTTGGCACTAAAGCAAGAACCTGTCTCAAAAAAAAAAAAAAAAAAAAAAAAAAAAAATTCATCAACCACATGTTGAATTCTCAAGATTCCTCTTAAACCTGAGAACTGGAATCATTTCAGCTATACAGTGAAATTAAATTTGTTTTTCATAGATTATTATAATGGATGTATATTGATAAAATGTTGAGGTGAGAATGTTACAGTTGCAATTCGAGGTCTATTTAAATGTTAAAATGAAATAGAGAATTATGGATGCACAGCTTTCCATATTGTGTTTGGCATAGGAAATTGATTCTCGGAATTATATGCTACCCTTTTTGTTCATTGTTTGTAGTGCATATGGATGATGGAATCACTTTCATGAATACAGTTCTTATTTAGAACATATATTCTATAACATTCCTAGAAAATAAAAAAGATTTGTGTGTTCAAAACAGGTTTCTTGATATGAGACAAGCAGACTGACTTTCAATTACAAACACTTTCAATTTTGAACCTTGCATTTTTATTGCAAGAACACAGTTATTTTCAAAAGTTTGGTTTGAGAGTTATTTTCAGGCAGCAGCTTTTTTCTTGAAATCCCTTACCGATAAGTATAGTAGACAGAAATATTTCAATTACTTTAATTAAAAAGCAGTGTTCAACATGTTGACTGAAGGTGGAGTTTATGTTGTTCACTAAAAAATAAGAAATTGGGAAGGGAATATTTTGGATAGATCATTGATGTTAGAAAGTTAAATTCACCGTTAATTTGTCAATAAACTAGAGCAGCAGGGTTTTCTTTGTTAAAATATTAAGATATTGAAAATGCGTTCTTAGACATGAACTCAAAGACATACTGGCGAGTTTACTTTTAGCTCACTGGTATATGCAAGATAGACAACAATTTGTGGTGAGGATATGAGGAAGTTTTTATCTATCCATTTGTTTAAAGAGTCATGTTAGGGAAGCATTTTTAAAAAAAAGAATTACTCTTTTCAATGGAACTCATGTTTAATTAGACCAAACATAAGCAAACACTTTAAGTAATCACTTTGTAGCAGATTTTCATGGAAGAGTGCCAAATTGTTTTGGTTTCATTATAGGTTTACAATCTTCTGATAGAATTTCCAGTTGGGATTTGAAAAACAAAACTCTGTCATACAGACTTGAATACAGTGGCCTAACATGATGTGTTAAATTAGCTCTTCAGATTACTTAAAATATAGCTGGGGTTTTCCTTTATCCAGGGACTAATGTTCAAGATTTTGTTAAAAAGATAATTAATTTTGCATTGACATTCTGGATGTTGGTGATAATTTGTAGTGACATTATGCCTATTGGTTATGAGTGTGACAGGCAGGCAGACTGGATCCAAATGGACGTTGCAAGAGCCAAATTAAATAGTCTGAGCACTGGAAATTTCTGCCTTGAGGAAAGCAGAAGTTTACAGCATGCACTTTGTTTTCTACCTACACAATTATGGATTAATATACATCAGTTCTAGGCAGTTGAGGAATGACATGAGAGGATTAATGGAACTGGACAACATTACGCAAGTGAAGTGAAAATTCTGTAATGATTTTTCTGCAGTGATGGAGTAGACAAGGCAAATGGGCATCAGCTCCTAGCCTTTGCACCTTCAGAATTTCAAGAAAATGAATGAAAAGAGAAGTGAAAAACAGCTATCTAACTAAAGCTGGCATGAAAATTTTTTCTCATCAAATACATACGTCATTTTTCACAAATAAGGAGGAGTTATTCAACTGAGTGAGCCAGTACTGCTTGCAGTGTATAATTTTACCCATTTAATTGTGGCCACTTATCTCTTAAAACTACTTAAAGAAACACCGTGCTTACTCCATATCCATAATAAGTACAACAGATTAGATGTAAAAATGAATATATATGACCAACCTTATATGTAATCATATTCATTTTGCTTTATGAAATGACTCTGAGGGGACATTATTTTTTCCACATCTTTTTAAAGTTTTAATAAGAATGTTTAACTCCAATACATTGAACTGCCCTAATGCCTACTGTTTCTTTTTTTTCTCTACCACAAAGTTTACCTATCATATATAGATTTATGGCAATATTTTCTACCACCAAGGCTGTGGGTTTTTATTTTCCAAGTTATCTGAAAGCTTGATTGTCATTATTGCAAATTGATTATTTCCATAGAGGTGCTTTAATAACATTTCTGATCTCAGACTTTAATTGGGTAATCTCTTACACATATTTATAGATAATTTATGAGAGGAGGGTTAATCTTTAGATTTTTACAATGTGATTTTCTTGTGATATGTATTCATTGGAAGAGGTAGATTCTTTAATTGCATGCATTTTATTTTTTAACCACAAAATATGTTTAAAAGCTATGCAAGAATTAGCAAAAGTAAACTACAGCAATATTAAAATTATTTTGCATCACCTTTACAGACCCGGCTCACTTAGGCAACGGTATTCTACTAAATCACAGTATTTTTTAAAGCTTGTTTTTCCTTGTTACCTCCTGAAATTGTGATTTTAAAGCTAAAATGGTCAGGAATATGCCAAATTTAAGATGATTATTTGGAAAAGAGAGATATCACAGTCTTATTAAATATGCTATAGTTAAGGTGATTGTAAATGAGTTTTTTAAATATACATACAGGATGGCATTGAGACAGAATTACAAAGTCTATTAACCATAATGATGGAGTTCAGGATGCAGATAAAATAAAATGATTGTCTTAAACTTTCAATAAATTTTTTAGCCTATTTAAGAATACCTGTAGCTTATGAAACTTTGTTTATATTTATTTAGTTTCAAAAATTAAGAAAGAATTAGAGGATATTTGAAGTTCTTATTATCTAGTTTCTAAAATTGTGAGAGAATGGTCAAAAGACTGGTATGTCTTATTTAGAGTGAATGTGTACTCACTTTACACATGAAAGAATCATTGCTTTGCTTCTGGCAAGATCTTTAAGCCCTGTATGGAGACAACATAGAGATTTGCTTAATTAACCCCTGTTCATTTCACAGAGCAAGAAATCAGATCCTCTTTGGCAATCATATGTTACCTGAATTATATTTAATCTCTTTATTACTCTGGAAATATACCAAGATACTCACACATTCACATACACACAGGCACACACAGAGAAAACCCTAATGCAAATATGGCAAAATGAACACCCTCACTTATACCTCAGGCCATTTCTTCTTCTGATAAATCAAATGTGAATAGTTCTGATGGCATTTCTCTCTGACTGAGAAATAAGGTGCCATGTGTATTCCATGCAAAGCCTCTGTTTTACAGTTTTATGGCCCTCACTAAAATTAGATAAATCTGCATTTGTGTGTGTCCACTACTAAGCCTCCCTCATGCCACCGGACTTGTTTCAGAAAGTGTATATGCTTTCCATTCTGGCCACTAAGAGGCAACTTGGTGAGTTATAGAGATTGACTGGGTGCTTGGCATGTGGTGCTGCTCCATTAAACAGTGGGCAATTAGTACTGGGGAGGTTTAGGACAATTTAAGCTGTCTTTATTGTTTTTAGATGTGCTCTTAGATGTGGTAATATCCTAATACTTTATTAACAAAAATATAAAAATCTAACTTCAGTTCACATTATAATACATTTTCTCATATTGCTTTTGTGGTCCAGATGTAAAAAAATCACAACAATAATTCATTGTATAATCGTTATCTAATATTACCAGGAAGTTTTTGTAAATGGAGCAAGATAACCATATTGCTCATTATTTAAGAGTAAAGTACGTTTTTTCAATCATTATTGCCTAAGTAATTTTTAGGAGATGATGGTTGAATGGTCCTCCCCACTTCACCACACCAAGATAGGTTGGTATGAGTGTTTGCTTTTCCTTTCTGTCACTCTTTAAATAATCCTATAGAAAATAACAGTATTGCTTCAATTTTTAAAAAACTTGATAATTTATATTGCATTTTATTTCTGAGAAATCGCCACATTTTTACATACCCCAAATAAATTGCCATGTGTAACTATGTACAAAAAATAATTTAATGTGGCTGAAAAATATCTCACTTGTTGTACTATAATGTATGAATAATAACAAATGTAAAACCCTTGACATCACATTTTCCTGTAATACTATTAGTCTTTAGGTAACATTTACAATACAGTATATTCAATTGCTACCTTGTGAAATGAATTTTTGAGATTCTTAGTAAGGTACTAAACAAAGCATTATTATTGAAGAATTATAGGGGAAAATTTCTCAATGAAAATTGATAATTAAAGGTATTTAAAATATGTATATTGCAGAGTAGATAAGAAGCTCAATGTAGCAATATATTTCTATTTTGAATTAAAATTAAGTTTTTATTACATAAACACAAATTGGCTCAAGAACTAGGTGATACATTTTAGAAAATTTAAAATAGCCAAAATAATGTTGAAATATGTTTTATGGATAATTTATCAATAAAAATTATTACTGTTAAAAATTGGTAGATTTCTTTCATCCCTGTGATAATGATTTAAGTTGAATGGGAATTTAGTAACATACAGGGATGCATCTTAATATCTATATTTGCTGAACAGTGGTAAACACACAATTAAGACTTGTCCTCATTAAAATGGACTTTTGTACACTATAATTTGAATTAAGTAGTAATGAATATATAAAGTATTTAAAGACTTGTATATCAAAATGTATAACGTTCCATTTTTGGCTATATTTTGTAAAACATTTTTGGTGTAATCAGTATGACTCTCACATATGTCAAATCAAGTATTCTACTATTTATTTAAACAGATATATACCTAATGTATTTGAAAACTTATTGCACTCATATAATTGTATATATTGTGGCTTCAAAAGTCTGTACTTATTCTTGCTTTAAAAAAGTAGAATGTGCATTTCTTTCCAATTTATTTTTAATTAATTATATTAAGGATAACATTCTTTACTAAATGTACCTTAAAATTCACAATAAAGTTTCAGAAATTGTTTTGTACAATGTTGAGACTTTGTGTTGAATTTGTTTGTGAACATTTTTTGAAATTGTGCTCTGGTCTTCTAATAAGGATTTTCTGACCTTAATCTTGCCGATAAAATGATGAGTGGAAACATGTGATTTGGCAAATAGCTAGCCCCTGTGTAAATAGGAGGTCATTCTCCTCCTAAGTGATGAATTGCTCACACGTGTGGAACCTTAGGCTAAAGGGTACAAGCTGGGCTTCCCCCTCACTCTCCCAACCCCTAGGAACTCATTATGTCCGCTTTTCAGCCTCGGAATCTCAAGCAATTTGCACTTTAACTGAGCATTCTAGACTGCAGAGAAGCAGTTACAAGGAGGTGACGTGGAGAAAATATATGCAGGTCTGTTAAACACTTTTGTGCTCAATTTATAGCTGTTATTTAAGATATTTAATAGTAAAGGTTTGCAATACATTTCTTTTGACGTGCTATTGAGAAAAGATAAAGCTAGACACTCAAATGCAGTAAATATAAAGGTACAGACTTGGTTTAGGTTTGCTCACTAGAGGACAGACACTTATTTTGCTAAAAAAAAATTTAGATTCCTGGGTTGAGGACGAACTCCGTACTATCAGGAGTCACCACAGTATTTAATATCACCTTATGAAACCTGCTGAGCTACAACCACTTGGCTATTACCACAGAGAAACACATTACCTCTACCCTGCTGTGTATGGATGCATTTGCTTTAGCTATGTGTTTTATGTTTTGATTCCCTACAATAGACATGGGAAATTCAATTAAATTTACATAGCAAATAAATCACTTTTCCAATTTATAGATTATTTTATGTATATGCTAAATAAAAACAAAAATACATCAAAATAATCATTCATATCCTTTAGAAGTCCCAGCATCTTTCATTTGAAAAGGGTCCCATTTTGTAAGGATATTCATTGAAAGAACAGAGGTGAAAAATTACTAATCATAAATGCTGAATGCATGTTCCAAAATTGCTTTTAGTCTTAAAGTTATATTTATTTTAACCCGTGGTATTTAGCCCATTCTGCCCTATTTGCTAGTTTTGTTTTGTTTTTGCTAGTGTTTTTTTCATAAAAAGAGGAATTTAGTCAAGTCCATTTGGTAAATCTAGGTGAATGAAAATACTGTCAGCTTGCTTTGAGGTTCTGATGCTGCACACAAAACAGCGTGTTTTTCATGTTTCACCCAAACATAAAAATATTTTGCATAGTCAAGTAGTGAAATGTGAATGTAAACAAGAACTAACCAAGTGGCTTGTTGGTATCTTAGTTAAATGTTTAAAAGCCTAAGATAGCAAATGCTTTTCTATAAAAAAAGAAGTGATTTCAAATAATATTTTCTCCTTCGATTAGTTACCTGAAATTGTGTTCTATTTTAATGGTTTCCAATAGTTCTATCCATTCTTTTACGCTTTAATATTTTTTCATGAGCTGTAATTCCTTACAAAGATTTTGCCCATAGTTTTACTTACAAGTAGTACATATTTTGTCAATACACATTGACAAAATGCGTTATCCAAATAACGTTCATTACTTAATTTCACTTCAAGTATGTATTTTGCTATTAAATTGAATATTAATATTCTGATACTGGCTAAATGTGTATTAGTGGTCATTTTAGAAGCAGGTGATTTTTAACTGAGAATAATGAGGTACATGGGAAGAAAGGAATTTATGACTAACCAACAGTATATTTTTATAAACAATACAAGTAGTTTATCCTCTTAATTTAATTATTAATCACTAGAAATATGGTGCTTAATCTTAGAGATGTAGTTGTATATGGTATATGTTCATACATTTATATACCCAAATATAAATACATTCTAATACATATGCATTTAGGCATAGAATATATTTTATGCATAAGTTCAAACAGATTGAAAATGATCAAAGCATTAATTCTTCTATACTGAAAAACATAAAATTTATGTTATTTATTAAATTTAATCAGTTTAGTTATCTTTTATACAATCAGATTTTAAGACATGATAATGTGACAATTACTTTTGAGGTTATTTGAATAACGTAACAAATTTTGGTTTTAAATTTTTGAATAGAGATAGTTTTTTAAATTAACATTAATCAGTATTGTTAATAGCCTAAGTATCTAAGCAGAGAGCATTATTTCTCCTATAGCCACTTTTGCTATTTAAAATTTCTTAAAGTGTAACCACCACCATTTAGTTTTTGAAAATATCAGAGTAACTATTTATTTGTATGAACATATAAATAAATTCAGAATTATCAAATTAATTTAAATAACTCATTATTTTAGCTTTTCTTTTGATCACATTAAAATACTATGTCCCTACAAAAGGTTAATTCCACATTTCATTTATTTAATGAGTTCTTATAGATTACCTATGTTATGGTATGTGTGTTTTCCTAAGTGAATCATCAGCATATGCATGATTTAATATGTTTCATATGCCACACTTAGCAACTGTCCTAACAGAAGATTTGTAAGTTGACTGTTTGTTTGACTGTTTTGGTGGAAGAGGGCATAAAATTAGAAGTTGTGTATACCAAATGGGATTTAATAAAATGCCTCAAATTCAAAAGAAAGCTGGCAGAATTCCTGGTACACAGTAGGCGCACAATAATACTTTTTTGAATAAATGAGAGGCTACTCCTAAGGATTGATTTATTCTTAAAATATATATCAGCAATAATAATTTATAGTTTTTTTCCAAAAAAATTTTTAGATAATCTTGTTATATGGTAAGATGCATACTATGGTAAATTTTAGTATTTTATTTCATTTTTTCTTCTCTTGACATACTTGCAAGATAGAACAAAGTGTGTTCCCTATATAATGGGAAACATAACACCTAACATTTGTGTATTTTTATTTTTTCAAAAAAACTCTGGATGTGATATTTAAAATAAATGTATTATTTCTATAGTTCATAAACATCATTGAGCATCTATATTCAATTTGCCATTTTTAGTGTAAATATATATTAAATAAAATTATATTTTTTTATTTTTAAAATATCAAAAATAACAAAACCCAGAAAATATATGTTTTGTTCTAATAACCATGTGTTACTTTCTTTGCATTATTAGTTCATGTCTTACACAGATTTGTAAGAATGTTAATATTAATTCATTTATAAACATCACTATTAATTGATACATTTAAGAGGATGTTCTTAAATATATGTGTTTAATACATGCATGTAATATTGTGCCTTTTGGCAATTACTTACTTTAATCATTTTGAAAATATGCAGTAGCCTTAAGCATATATATTGACAACTGAAATATATTTGCTGCTTTAACTATTTCATTTAAAAATTGTCAGTTCTAAAAGGCTTTATGTTTGGGACTCCTTTGAGTATCATTTAAAAGCTATAGGTCTGCTCCAGAAAAATTCATATACCTGCAGATATATATTTTTTGAAATTGCAAATCAAATTTCCCACAGACTTCATGGAGCCCATCTTTAAAATCTTCCTGGAGCCTGTGGCCCTGAGTAACAACCATATAAAAAGTTACTGGACTATCAATGCAACTCCTAATAAATATGCTTTGAAAATAGCTTAGAGTATTTCAAATAAAAAGAATTTAATATTCTTTTCCCAGCACTAGCTATTTTTTTTAAATGATCTTTCTTTGGAACCAGTTCCTTGTGTAATAACGGCTAAAACCTTGAAACAGTTTAGCTTCCTTATCTTGTACAATATAAAAATTAGATAAAAACATACACTTTGCCATAAGAATGAATGCATTGATCACATAATGAAATGGTCTTTATTGAATATATAATTGAGGCTATTACTAGACATGCAAATATGCAGCCAGATAGAGCTAGCCAAACAGAATGCTGCAGTTTTAAATTTAAACTTCTTTTGATGTAAGCAGTCCTCATTATTTATTAAATTTAATTTTTTCCCTATATTTTGTCCATTTTCCTTTCACTACTGTAAATTGCACAGATAATACCTATGGAGGTTCAGGACAAAGGTATTTTTTCCTGTTCAGATTCACATTTCCACCTAGACTTTGCCTAACATTCTCTTTCTTCTTACAAATAAACTGGTAAAAGTGGTACATTTCTTTTTTGCCCATAGCCATGTTTATAAAGTAATTTCATATAAAATATTGTTTGAAAATGTGCACATTTTATTTCTACCCCCATTTCTGTGAAAATTAAAGCTCAGTATTAAAGCATTTTTCAAGGTCACAAGAGCTCCTATTTGGCTTAGGTAGGATTTTGGTTTTTTTGGTAATCTAATACTCATCCCAAGAATCAGGATTGATTTGAAAAGAGACACAAATATGCATCTGAAAGACAGCGAATGAAACATTTAAATAATCATACATTAAAATGCACTTGCCAAGTATTCATTTTTGAAACACATACAAAACTTTGTTATTTATCTATAATATTTAATAGTATTTGTCATATATGCAGAGATGCTTTTCTCCATACATTTTCACTATGTGTAGTTTTCTCTGATGATCAAAGACGTTTCAAACTTGATGAATTAGTATGTTTTTGTTGTTTTGTTTTTCCATGTATTTTCTGTCAGAATTGTGAGATGGGAGAAGTTTCTGTCATGATTCAGAAGTAATAAACAATATACATTTATGTTCGTTTTCCAAGTACCATTCTCTATCAGTCCATTTCTTTAGGATGCATTTCTTTATTTCTCTCAATTATGATTCCTCTTTAGTTTTCGGCTAACTCATACCCCTATTAGAGCTTCTATACCTAGTACTTGTTAGACACAAAAATACATTGCACATATTCTTTTTTCATGAATTATTTTTTAACTTTCAAAACAGCTATACTGGGTAAATTTTTTTTTTTTTTTTTGAGACGGATGTTGGCTCTTGTTACCCAAGCTGGAGTGCAATGGCGCGATCTCGGCTCCCCGCAACCTCCGCCTCCTGGGTTCAGGTAATTCTCCGGCCTCAGCCTCCTGAGTAGCTGGGATTACAGGCACGCGCCACCATTTTTTGTATTTTTAGTAGAGACGGGGTTTCA